AAAATGCTGATTTAAACACTGTGAATACATTTATAAAACACATGATCATCATTGTACTTTTATTAAAAGCAAAGCTGATTGTGTGTGCGTGTCAATCCAAAAAATATTACTTCTCTCAAATGTAATGACAGGCTTAAACATTTATTACCTCAAAGACATAAAACACACTGTGAGATACATGCTTCATGGGCAAAACACTTTTGAAATGAATCATCTGTTCACATTTAATCATTTATATATTTAAAGATTAAATGTTAAAATTATCAAACATACCACTCTTTTCATCTCATTTGTAATGATCGGGACAAACATTTTTTTATACTCAACCATATGATATACCTGTGAGGGAATATGTTCATGTTCAAATCTTCTAAACTCTTAAGTAAAAGCTGTTTCTGAATACATTTTTTTGGCAAAATGATGGTCAAACATCATATAAAAAAGTAGTTGTCAGCATCCATGCACATATTTGGTTATTTAGTTTGTGTGAGATTTTGTTTTAATTTGTTTCAGTTTATGTGTGAATTTGTGTACTTCAGCTGCTGTACCTCAGTATGGCACACTCTAGTGTATAATTCTGAAATTACCATTATTTCAAGGGCTAACTCAAATGTGGTTCTCTGTAGTTCTCTCTTGTGGTGAAACCTAAAATTACTATTCTAATGCACTGGCGGATTCTCTCGTTGTCAAAATTAACATTACAAGTTTGAAAGGGTCTAAATCAGGGGTGGGCCACCCAAAATGTTGACAGAGCCATATTGGACCAGAAAAACAAAAAACAAATATGTCTAGAGCCGCAAAAAATAAATAAATAAAAGAAAATAAAAAGTGTTATATAAGCATTATAGTGAAGGCAACACATGCGGTATGTATCTATATTAGCTATATTAGCCGACTATCAAAATGATCAAGTTGGCGACAAATACACAATGATTCTTCATGATTAAATGTTTTTCCTCTGCAGTGCACCCTGTAGAACTGGGGTGCCCGACCTTTGTTGACGGAAGATCTACTTTTATATCAACCAACCTTCCGCGAATGACCCGTTACCGCACACGCGCGTATACACACGCACTTACAAACGCATGCCATAATGAGCAACAGCCATAATGGCCCCTAAGATGAACGAGGCATGGGAAGCACTTTTGCAGCGTGTTAACTATCGTAGCTCACATGCACCATTTAAAATGCTTCCACATTCCCATTCTTTGCCAGTACCTTTGGTGAATGGAATACGTTTTTTTTTTTACAATGCCCACCTGCCTGGCAACACATCCTGCTAATAGAAAAGTGTGTCGCAGGCTATGACGCAAATCCTCGTTGACAGAAATGTTGACATTTAATATTTATTCGACACATTTTTACAGCTATGGAAAACGTTAAGAATGTTTTTGTCATGTTTGTTCTCCTACAGAAACCATATTAAAACAAAAAAAATATATTTCCCTCCCCGATCTTTTTCCATTTTGAAACATTTTTGAAAACTCTCCAGGGAGCCACTAAGGCGACGCTAAAGAGCCGCATGTGGCTCTGGAGTCGCGGGTTGCCGACCCCCGTTCCAAATCAATGATGGCGAACTTTCGTGGTTAAATTTAAGAATTTCAATTGTTTTTTCCAATTGTCAAGCCATTTATGAAGCCAGTTGCCATGGTGCTTCATTTAATTCAACACGATACCTTTCATCACTTCATTAGACATGGTGATTCGGTTACATCATGCGTGCTCATTTTGACCCCACAGTTCTTTTTGTGGCAAATGAAGATCCAAATCTCGCATATGAAGTATCTTTGTCATTTTTCACATAACTCGACGATAAACATTTTCCACCAAGAGCAGTGACCAGGAAGCAACAAGTCTTGAATAAGCCATGGATGACACAGGGTATAGAGAAAGCATGTAAAAAGGAAAATTTGCGATATGTTTTTAAAAAAAAATTTAGGAACAAAAGATGCTGAACTTAATTCTAAGAAATAAACTGAGAGCACGGTGGTTGACACATCGGCCTCAGAGTGCAGAGGTCCTGGCCCTGCCCTTCCTGTGTGGAGTTTGCTTGTTCTCCCCGTGCCTGCGTGGGTTTTCTCTGGGTACTCCGGTTTCTACCCACATTCCAAAAACATGCGTGGCAGGTTAATGGAACACTCTAAATGGGCTGCTCCCTGGACACTCTGGAGGAGGTGGGCAACAGGAGGATGCTTGCTAAACTAAAAGTTATGATGGACAGTCCCTCCCACCCCTTCCAGCCCGCCCTGACAGCACTGGGTAGCTCCTTCAGCCAGAGACTGTTTCACCCGCGCTGCAAGAAGGAGAGATACCGCCGCTCGTTCCTACCGACTGCTGTCAGGCTGCTGAATAAACATATGTGAAAACCTGTAACCATTGCAAATAGCACAGCCACCTTACGCTGTGTTTTCTATGCTATTGCTAATTTATTATATTTACTGTATTCTACAAATATATTGCTAATGCTTTATTTTATATTGCACTTATATTGAACTGTGTACAGTTCTTTTCTGAAACATTTATTTTGTGCAATGAAACACTTTATCCCCCCCACCCCAATTTTGCTGCAGTAGACTGCAAATTTCCCCAGGGACAAATAAAGGTTTTCTTATCTTATCTTATCTTAAATTATCCCTAGGTGTGCGTGTGAGTGGGAATGGTTGTTCGTCTCTCTGTGCCCTGCAATTGGCTGGCAACCAGTTCAGGGTGCCCCTTGCTTACTCCCCAATGACAGCTGGGATAGGCTCCAGCATGCCTGCGACCCTGGTGAGGATGATGAGGTTCATATAATGAACCAGATGAGGTGGCTCAGTTATCTGGTTAGGATGCCTCCCTGGTGAGGTGTTCCGGGCATGAGCCAATGGCACCTCCACATCTAGGAAAAGCCATTATCCACGGATCCCAGATTGATGAGTCACAATGACAACGTGGAAGAGGAGGATAGATAGATAGATATTTCCACAAAAATATATTAGGGCGGCCCGGTAGTTGAGTGGTTAGCACGTCGACTTCACAGTGCCGAGGTACCAGGTTCAATTCCAGCGCCGGCCTTCCAGTGTGGAGTTTGCATGTTCTCCCCGTACTTGCGTGGTTTTCTCCGGGTCCTCCGGTTTCCTCCCACATTCCAAAAACATGATGATGATGACAGATGCTAAAGAGAGGGATGTTGTCCTTTACAATTACAAGAATACAACAGTGGAAAAACTGCTGCCTTTAAATTTATTTCCCTTTATGTGCAATCCCACGGGGGATAAGTGCAATTGGCAACTTCTGAAGATGAAATTTAAAAAAAACATTGTTCAAACAGCTAAGATCTTGCCAGAACACACTTTTCTGACCGCCCATACCATTGTCTTACTTAAGTGCTCAGCATCTACAACATTCTACATTATTTAAAAAAAAAAAAATTGCCATGAAACTCAGAGCAACACACCGAATCTGCTGGGATGGGAGAGCATGACTCCAACTGGTAATATTGCAAATGTGAGGGCAGATTTGGTTGTGTATCTAGATGATAGACATGAAATGGTACCACTCAAAAGGTAATTGTCTGAAAATGCTAAAACATCTGTGCACAGTCTGACAACCATTTCCTGACGAATATTCAATTCTCTGCTACACCTTCATCCACGGCATCTTCATAAAAAGAACATGGCATTTTTGTCTTCATCTACTGTGACAAATGGACCCCTCATATACTGACTGATTTTTTTTTTTTTAATGACAGTCAGCAGCACGCGGAATGAGGAAATGAAATAGAGTGTGTGGCTCGTAAAGAGGGTGGTGACAGTGAAAAACTTGAGGCTCATTGAGCAAAACCTAGTCCCGACCAGGTTAGGTTCATAGAGTCTGTTACTGCGGTAACTGAACGAGAGCTGAATATCTCCAATATGTCGATTTGGTCCCAAGTCAATCGCGAGGGGTGTCAAGTCAAGTTAAGTCAAGTCAAGTCAGCTTTATTGTCAAAAATGTTTTATGTACAACATACAGCACAGATGAAATTTCTTTCCTCTCAACCACAGTGCAAACATGCAGTGTATTAAGAACACACCCAGCTAAAAACAAGGGCAGCAAAACTGAACTGTATAACAAAGACATACATATAGAAATATAAACAAATAAAAACAATAAATAGCAATCAACATTCAACAATAAGTGGATGTCAGATGCTGAGGGGAGGGTCACAGTCTGTGGCAGGAGGCAGGGGTAGAGGGGGAGAGTGCGGGCAGAACAGGGAGGTAGTTGAGTCGCCTGACCGCCTGGTGGAATAAACTGTTCTTGAGCCTACTGGTTCTAGCACAGAGACATCACAGTCTCCTCCTCGCAGGTCAAAGAGGCTGTGAGATAGGTGGGTGGGGTCACCTGCAATCTGGATGTCTTTGCAGGTCAGACAAGTGTTGCAAATGTCCACAAGTGGAGGAAGAGAGACACCAATGATCTGCTCAGCTGCTCTCACGATGCGCTGCAGACTCTTTCGGCAGGACACGGTTCAGGCGCCGTACCTCACGGTGATGCAGCTGGTCAAGATGCTCTCAATGGTGCCTCTATCGAATGTCTGCATAATGGGGGGCGGGGATCTTGCTCTCCTCAGTTTGCGGAGGAAATACAGGCACTGGTGGGCTTTTTTTGGCCATTGATGTTGTATTGTGGCTCCAGGACAGGTCTTCAGAGATGTGCACACTTGGTGCTACTCACCCGCTCCACTGCGGCACCATTGATGGTCAGTGGAGCATTCTGGCTGTGGATTCTCCTGAAGTCCACAACAATCTCCTACGTCTTCTCCACATTCAGGTGGAGATTGTTGTCTTTGCACCACAAGGCCAGCCTGCTCACCTCACTCCTGTAGATTGTCTCATCGTTGTTGTTGATGAGACCCACCACAGTCGTGTCATCCACAAACTTAATGAAGAGGTTAGAGCTGGATGAGGGAGTGCAGTCGTCGGTCAGCAGAGTGAAGAGGAGGGGGCTCAGCACACATCCTTGGGGGGCCCCTGTGTTCATCATGATGGTGCATGATGGTTGCTTTCGACCCGAACTGCCTGTGGTCTCCCCGTCAGGAAGTCCAGCACCCAGTTACACAGGGAGGTGGTGAGCCCCAGGTGGTCCAGTTTGTGGATGAGCTGCTGTGGGATGATGGTGTTGAATGCTGAGCTGAAGTCAAGGACCAGCATTCTGACGTGTAAGTCCTTGGTCTCCAGGTGGGTGAGGGCTGAGTGGAGGGCAATAGAGATGGCGTCTGCAGTCGATCGGTTAGACCAGGGGTGTCAAACTCATTTCACATTGTGGGCCACATACGGCCTCGGTAGATGTAAAGTGGGCCGAACCGTTTTTTATACCATACTCTGCTATAAATAACCAAAATAATGTCTTTCCTTTGTTCTGGTCGAAAGAAGCACAAGAACATTAGGAAAATGTTGAAATAGAATAAACAAATCTTTTACAAAACATTTCATGAAGCTCCTTAGATTTCCTTAGACAAATGTGCAATTTACTTTTATCATTCACACATATGCATTGCAACTGATCCCACTGATTGTACAAAGGCACACAATTTTAACAACTAATTGGTATTGAAAAATATCGTAATGCACTTTTAAGATTAAACGAGGTTTATAAAGAAAGGAATTTTTAAACTATTTACACGTGTATATAAAATCTAAATGTAATCCCTGCCTACACCTTACTAACTAAGGAGAGTGCTATTAAATGTGTAAAGAATAAAGTATTCACATGTCCTTGATAGCGTCTGCTGTGTTGGGTCTATCTCAGTGACAGACTGAGGCTGCTGTTTTCTTCTCTGATCAAAACAATGTTGTCTTTTACTCTGATCAAAACAGTGTGTCCCGCTAGCGGATACTCCATGAATTGCACCTTTTTAAAAATATTCATTCCGTTTCTTTTATGCATTTTTTCACTCTTAAATTACCCTGCGGGCCTGATCAAACTCCTTGCGGGCTGGTTTTGGCCTGCAGGCCGTATGTTTGATACATCTGGGTTAGACCGATATGCAAACTTGTAGGGGTCTAGGGAGGAAGCAGGGCAGACTTGATGTACTGCAAATCTGTTTTCGGTCTGGCCAGCAGGTGGCATGAGCGGAATTCTGGGTGCACACCTGCTGCCAATCTATGATTATTAGACTCTGTATTTAAGGACTCTTCTGCGGTGCCCCTGTTGTCAGAGTATTGTTTATGCCTTGCTGCTTCCTTGCCCATAGACCCTTTGCAATAAACCTTGTTGCTGTTTCGCTTTGAACTCTCGGTATTATTGATATTGTAAGTATGGTTTTTATTTTTTGATTCGGCTTTTGTTTGCGTGTATTTTGAGACATTGTTTTTCGTTTGTATTCTTGGGTCTTGTTTTCACCCCTTGCCTTTTGTGCAAGCGCTTTTCGTTAATTGTTTTTTGTACTCCCTGGTCCGTTTGGACCAGCGCTTTATGTTACTACTTTGTCAGGTGCGATTTTTGTATTAAAACATTTTTGCTACGGAGACCTTGTTGTCGTCTACACTTTTGGGATCCAAACTTAATTCGGCTTGTCCGAAACGTGACACCTGCATTTTTGTTCCAATTCTCCCTGATGCAACACACCTGATTCAAATGATTAGATAATCAGCAAGCTCTGCGGAAGCCTGATATTGAACCTGTTCATTTGAATAATAACCTTATTTTTCATTGTTTGTAATTTGAACAGCCACAATAACAATACAGTGATCCCTCGCTACTTTGCGGTTCATTTATCGCAGGTTCAGTGCATCGCGGATTTTTTTCAAACATATTAAAAAAAAATATATATATATATATCACACCCACGTTTTTTCAACTGTTCCCATACACGTCCCTCTAAAGACTTCTCGAGTCACAGTCTTGTCGACTGATCAGCTCAAAAGATGACTTGACATCTTGGACAGCATATCAGCAACCATTTTGATTATATAAATCCAGCCTGCAGTTCAAGTGGGGTGAATGGACAACAATTCCAATTTTGGGAAAGTAGTGAACTAACTGTTAGAGTGGGGTGGACTGAGGTTCCAACTCTGAGGTAATCATTGTCATCAGAGGAGGATGCCTTTTTATCGGACGCAAATGTCAATTCTGTAGTCCAATAGATGTGACAGCCCTTCACTGAGAAAAAAAGCCTTTGCGAAAGTCATTTTCAGCAAAAAGCTAGCAAACAGCACAACAAATGATTGAGAAGCGGTCAAGTGACATGTAAACTAGATTTATTTCTCACACTACTACACTCATGTTTGTGTTAAAGTTTTTTAATAACATTAGATGATATGTTTTAGTGACCTCAATATCACCCCCGCCCCAACAGAGACAGCAAATGTGTGAAAAATACTCTACTGATATTTTCAAAAGGACACTGATACATGAAACATGTAAAAGACATTTCTAACATGTCACCATGTTAATTTTGTTGTCCTCATCAAATCAGCAAACGTGAACAATGAAGCAAAAGAAGATGTAAACCATATCTTTAGGGAGGCTAAACATTGAACGGGGTCAAATTTGCCTCAAATAAAAGGAACTATGTGTGTATATATATATATATATATATATTTATTTTTTACCTGTTTATGTTCATTGGACGCTACTTCACAGATATTCGTTTATCGCCGGTGTTTTTGGTCCCCATTAACCGCGATAAACGAGAGATTACTGTAATCAAGCCAAAGCCATGTGCACAAAGCAATGTGAAAAATTTGAAACACCATCCATCCATCCATCTATCCATTTTCTGAATTGGTTTATCCTCACTAGGGTCGCGGGTGGTGGGGGGGTGCTGGAGCCTATCCCAGCTCTCTTCGGGTAGTAGGCAGGGGACACCCTGAACCGGTTGCCAGCCAATCGCAGGGCACACAGAGACGAACAACCATCCGTGCTCACATTCACACCTATGGACAATTTAGAGTGTTCAGCCAGCCATGCATGTTTTTGGAATGTGGGAGGAAACCAGAGGACCTGGAGCAAACCCACTCAGGCACGGAGAGAACATGCAAACTCCACTCAGGAAGGCCGGAGCTGAAATCGAACCTCTGGACTGTGAAGTCGATGCGCTAACCCAGGGGTCGGCAACCCAGAATGTTGAAAGAGCCATATAGGACAAAAAAACACAAAACAAATATGTCTGGAGCCGCAAAAAAATAAAAGCCCTCTATAAAACTTACAATGAAGGAAGCACATGCTGTATGTATGTAGGAGACTGGGCTGTCTCAGAATTGTTTGTTATTCATTCCTTTGTTGTGTGTTCACAAACGCCCCCATAGAATTTATTTTGTGATTTCCTCGCTTGATTTTTTTTTTGTTTTGGTGCATTATTTTAGTTTTTTTAGTGTCAGTGGAGTGATCATGAATTTCCGTTTTTTGGAGGCTGTCTTTGAACGCCTCTCGAGTTGAACGAGAAGAGAGAAGGCACGGAGTCGGACGCAGACGTGTCTGTGTTTGTCGAGACTGTTAAAAGCATAAAGTGTACGTTTTAAAAAACCAACACTACCGCTCTCCTTTTTCGGAGCTGCAACATGTATCTATATCTATTTGAGCTATTTTAGCCTACTATCAAAATCTTTTTACATTTTCAAACATTTTTTTATAAAGCTCCAGGGAGCCACGAGATGTCGCTAAAGAGCCGCATGCGGCTCTGGAGTCGTTGCCGACCCCCGCGCTAACCACTCGACTACCGGGCCGCCAATTTGAAACACTCAAAGTAAAATATAAAGAGGCACAATTCATACTTGGGGGAAGATTTTAATGATACTCCTGATGACCTGATACATCGATTATAGAACATGCCAACACAAAAGATTTAAAAGCCCTGTTTTCATTCGAGACCAACCACGATCTGATTATAAACTTTTTACTATTATTCTAACATTATTTGTAAAAATAATCAATTACATGGTTTCAGGACACAAAATAATAACCTGTTGAATGATAAAATATTTTGTTGTTTAAGGTCAAGAAAACTGCAGTCAGGTTAGTCCTGAATGCTGAAATGAATCCAATGCAAAGATGGTAATACTTTAAATTCAAAGTTATATCAATAGCAATGGGACAAAATAAAGATTTTCAAAAAGCTATTCCAACTAAATAAATCGATGTCATGAATGCATGTTTTTTTTTGGAAAAGGATTAAAGAGGAAATCGATGTTGCAGATATTAACATGGCTTAAGGAGCTTTTACAAGCAAATTGAATGGAATTAGGTGAGGGAAACTAAAGTTAGTATCTTTTTTTTTGTGATGGAGAAACATCGTAGAACAGGTTCTGTCAGTCGTCATCTGTACCTGTGGGTAAAAAACAAAAAAAAACAAAAAAACAAAAAAAGCAAAAAAGGACGTTTCGCTTCTCTCACAGAAGCTTCGTCAGCGGTGTGAGGGAAACTAAAGTTAGTATCTTTTTTTTTGTGATGGAGAAACATAATAAAACATAATTAATGTTTCAGCCCTTAACATAAATGATGACATACCACCAATTATTAAGGTATTTCTAAATATGTCATTTTTACACTCGGTTATATAAATAAAAATCTTGCATCACTGATTTAATGTGGTGGACCAGGTGGGTGCCCAGGCGGACCTGGTGGACCAGGTGGTTTCCCGGGCGGACCTGGTGGACCAGGTGGTTTGCCGGGTGGACCTGGTGGACCAGGTGGTTTACCAGGTGGACCAGGTGGTTTGCCAGGTGGTTTACCAGGTGGACCAGGTGGTTTGCCAGGTGGACCTGGTGGACCAGGTGGTTTACCAGGGGGACCAGGTGGGTGCCCAGGCGGACCTGGTGGACCAGGTGGTTTCCCGGGCGGACCTGGTGGACCAGGTGGTTTGCCGGGTGGACCTGGTGGACCAGGTGGTTTGCCGGGTGGACCTGGTGGACCAGGTGGTTTGCCAGGTGGACCTGGTGGACCAGGTGGTTTGCCAGGTGGACCTGGTGGACCAGGTGGTTTGCCAGGCGGACCTGGTGGACCAGGTGGTTTTCCGGGTGGACCTGGTGGCTTCCCGGGTGGACCTGGTGGACCAGGTGGGTGTCCGGGTGGACCTGGTGGGTGCCCGGGAGGACCTGGCGGTTTCCCAGGTGGACCTGGTGGACCAGGTGGTTTCCCGGGTGGACCTGGTGGACCAGGTGGCTTCCCAGGTGGCCCAGGTGGGTGTCCAGGTGGTCCTGGTGGACCAGGTGGGTGACCGGGTGGACCTGGTGGACCAGGTGGCTTCCCAGGCGGACCTGGTGGGTGTCCGGGTGGACCTGGTGGTTTCCCAGGTGGATCTGG